GGGCAGCTCTACCATATGCAAGGGTTACCACATCGCAGATATATGCTACGAGAAGCACAGGGAGAGTAATGAACCACCAGAACAGAGTTTACACAGCAGACAGGATACAGCTGCGGCTGGTTAGGGGAAGTAAGTCAAGTCGACGACAGTACAGTAGACGCTCCTCTTGCTCCTTCGGCACTGGGCAGAATATACCGGGAATCATGACGGTGAACATTGACAGTAAAATTGCCGAGAGCGAGAAGACATCGCGATGATTACCAGTTCATACAGTAGACCGTGGTAGACTATGCTGCAAAACCAACTGAGGTAGTATTCGAAAAGGATAATAGCCCGCCGCCACTGGTGCTGCACGTGGTGTTGACGTCTTGTCCACCAAACGAGTTCGGGCACGACGCCGAATAGATAGTACCTGGAAAGACAAGGGAGAACAACTAACAAGGCGGGGCGAATGCGAATGCATAAAATGAGACACCTGAGCGAAAGAACACGGGAGCAACTGTTGGGCAAAGGTAGTGGCAAGTACGACGTAACTCAGTAGAAAGAAAGGCCGAAGCCTGACAAAAGCCACGGCAATGGTGAAAGCAATCCTCGACAAGTATGATGTAACCTCTTAACTCAAGTTCTGGATCTTTCGCTGTACCGGTATTATGGGAGTAGACTGATAGGTAGAATATCAGGCGTACGAGTCCAATAACCGAGTTAATGGAATGACAACTAACATGGATATTCGTATTAGGACGGACTGATAATAGGTTGGACTATACGACTATGACGCGAGCACAATGAACGGAACATAGCGAATTGTGATCGTAAAAAGCGCTCGTCTTAATAATCGATAACGTTCAAGACGGATGGTATCAACAAGTGCCGCCCGGAACCGTACTGATTCCTCTCGCAGATAATGAACGCTCCACTGCAACAGGAACTCTGCCTGCTTTAGTCAAAGCGAAGCTATCACTCTCAACTTGGGAAAGACTCACTCGACGTCTATCCAGAGAAAAACCCGCTCCAGAAGTAAACTGGAATCGGCTACGGTTACGATCCGTATACAACGGCTTGAACTTACCCGAACAAAGGTCATGAACAATAATGTCAACCCAGGTAGGGCCAACAGCCAAAATTTTTGCCAGTACATAGATCGATGAAGCTGGATCAGCACCGACATTCACCACGATGAACTCATCCTTACGGAGACCACCAATAGATCCTGGTAATGAGTGTAGTGGTTGATCATCGAAGTTGATATCTTCCCTCCTCAGTGATATCTGAGATATAGGGACTCTCTTCACCTCCTCGTTGTCGTTGTCCAGATATGTTATCCAACAAGTACGGAAGTTGGGATCTAGGTAAGCGTAACGATGCAACTGAGGGGAGTCAGAGTCATAACCGGACGGTTGTAAACCAGAAGGAGGAGTACATACGACGGCTTCGCGAATCTCCAAATTCTTCTTCCACGTAATCTTGGTACCTGGTTTTAGTAGCTCAGTAGCACCAGAGGTTTGTAGAATATTAGCATTAGCGCATGCTCGTTCGAAGCGAAGGTAGCCCTTCTCATCGAGGTAAGATTGACATAGCTCTTCGATAGACTCATGGGGATACTCCTCGATCTCATCGGTAAATAAGCGGATCGGACCACGAGACAAACCGAGTGCACAGTCAGAAGGGGTAGGTGACGGACCACAGTGGTTGTGATAGTAACAACTGAGGTGTAGGGCACAATCCCACGGCAACGAAGCTGGTAGTTTCTCCATCAATGACTTCAGGCGTCCCACTGTTCTCTCACTCAATCCATTAGACTGAGGGTTAGCCGGTAGAGAGAAGGAATGGTTTATACCTAAAGCTGAGGTTAGCAGCTCGGTTAAACGTGCCCTATATGCGGGACCGCCATCCGTGAATAGACATCGAGGTACACCACAAATGGGAACCCATGAGGTAATGAATGCCATAGAGAGAGATAGAGCATCCTCACCACAGGTAGGCACCGCGACTGTGAATCCAGAGGCTGCACAGACGAAGATGACAAAGCTCGTCAATTCCTTACGACTGGGCTTTCCACATGACGTAGGAGGATGAGCAAAGTCAGAGTAGACTATCTCCAAACGGACTGTAGGTGTAGACCTTGGATTAGCACTGCTAGCAATCAGCTCGTGCTTTCGGCTCTCCCAGCAGGTAGAACAGGCCTGATAGGCCCTATCAACGTAAGCGTTCATACGAGGGAACCACACACAGCGACGCAGAACGTCTAGAGTGGATTTAACCGACCCGTGACCAGCTACGTGATGGGCTAAGGCAACGACTTCGTGTCGAAGTGATGGGAAGTAGTCTGGATTCACCCACTTGATCAGAGAGACCGGGACTCTGCCGGCAGGTAGGACCAAGCATCGACGAAACAGACCCTTCGCGAAACAGAGTTTGTACATTATACCATCCGAGTCGACGAGGAACACACCATCCTGATGGTCCCTACTGGAAGTGGCCTGGTAGAGTTCAGGAAGAGGTATATTATTGACCTTCGTCTCACGATCGGAGGAGTACAAAGCAACCAGATGTGGTTTCACAGTGGCCAGCGCGGAAGAGAAGCTCGACGGGTCATCCTCCTCGTCGGTCTCCACCGGTTCGTCATCATCGTCAGGACGGTGAGATAAGACGAAAGCTGGATACCAGGCTCGTAGTGATTCATCTCCTACAAGACAGGATTCGTTAAACGGGGATAATCCACAACAGACGTGTTCCCTGGGTGAGAGGTTATCCTCTACGGGAAAAGTCTCCGACTGCCAAAGGGTGAACGAGTAACTCGCTCCATTCTCAGGGAAGATCTGGCCGTCAACTAATCTCGAGAACAGATCGCATCAGAAGTTTTTCTTACCAGGGATATGGAGATACTCGACAGGAATAGCGCTATACTCGGCGGTAAGGTTATACCAGTTAAGCCATCTACTGCGTTGTGTCGGAGGCGCGTCTTCAGGTAATGGTCGTCGTGCCACTCTTCCCAGCGCTGCGGTATTATCCGACAGTACCACGACATGGGGGTTGCCACTGGTAGGAGAAAACGATGACACTATTATAGGCTTAGCATAATAGAGACCACGAAACACTCCGAACAACTCTCTATCATAGTTTACCCAGTTTCTTTCAGCAGGTGTGAGCTTGTGTGAGTTACTCCACACGAGTCGGCCGTGACGTCTAAAGGTTTCATCTCCATTGGACTTCAGGTCGTCGATCGCACTCCTAGGGATTCTCCACAAAGAGGCGTTGGTACTCACCGGACTCGTATCAGCCACTAGCACCCAGACCAAATCGGGTCCTAGAATTTCTCCGATACGGTGCCAAGACACTAACTGCTTATGAATGAAACGTGACAGACTTAGCCACTGCTCCTTCTGCTCATCAGTGAGGTTAATCCGAGTCGACCGACGAGAAGTGGAGTGTAAACCGCATAAGGTAGTGAACGGTTCGAGCAGAGATGATAGACAATCCTCAGCACGGTTAGTTATAAATGCTGATTTGCCGTAATTTAGTAGACCTAGACGTGATCGTAGACCTCCGACCGTGGTAGGAGGATGTTCCACGACTTGGTAGAGCTCCTGCTGTGTCTTCTCACTAAGGGACCATCCCAAAGGGCATAGCTTGAGCTTCAGAAAGTCTACAGTAGGTGATGGTGGTTGTCGTTTACGGACAGGCACCTCACAACGAACATATTCCAGGATATCGATGACCACATTGTAAAGCCATCGACAAGCGGCTTCTTCATGGTGATGGATGAGAACATCGTCGAGGTAGGTTATTATCGCCTCGTCGTTCAGGGTGTACTCGGGCAGACCGGTTCGTAGTGCCAAAGCCAACCCATAACTCCACCATGCAGCAGAGTGGACCCATCCCATGATAAGAGCCTTATGAAGAAAGTAACGAGTCTTCATCTCGCCTGTACGGTGGTCTGGAAGCTGAATAGCTGCACCGAAGAGTGGTAAAGAATCTTCGTCATAGTGCATTCTCCAGTATGCCGCCTTGACGTCCACAGTGGCAAAGAACCGAGACGGCTTCTCGCGGTTAGTCACGCGACCGTCTTTGGACCACGGGATACTCCGAAGGACATCATCGACAGAAGAGAGGTATTGTTTCCAGTCTCCTTCCAGAGGAGCCGTTGCAACATTGGCATTGCGAGAATCAACCACCATGCGATAACGGTCGGCAACATTCTCCTTGGTGAGGGGTTCCTCAGTGACGTTCCCCGGTTTGGGCACTAAGAAGAGGGGGTTGAAGTGTGTGTTATGGAAGTACTTGTATGAAGTTGGGGTTATCTCCTCCAAAATACCGTCTTCCTCCATGGACTGA